TTCCCTGCGCAACACTACTAATTTCTGCTCCTATCCACGCACACACATACTATATTTACACATGTCTCACGTACTGGCGACTTTTGCAATTATGACTAGCCCTTCCACTGCCGCACAACAAAAGCATGGCATTATAATTCAAAAAATACAGTGCTAGTACACTGCACATTGTGGGCTTCAAGTCTAACACCAATAGTGAAGTAGAAATCGCTCCGAGTAAAAAAATCAGAAACAAATCTCAAAGGCTATGCTTGTGTGGTGCATGCGTCAGAACCGAATACAGCAGACGAAGGCGCACTGTGACCGCTAATTATCGCTCAATATGGGATAATTTAACCATTCCTGAAATTCCCTGCAATATCACAAAGATGCCCTTTTTCGCTTTGGCTCAAAATGACAGGCGAAAATTCCCCGAAAGGGGGAACATTCCCTGCACGGAACATCACTGCCTCCATGCCTGATACACTATGCTCTCTTCTTGTTCTTTAGGGTTACACCTACCATTTTCCTTTCCATCGCTCTCTGCATCGTCCTCAATTTAGGCGGAACTCTCTTTGTAATCTTGCAGGTGTCTGCTACGTAGATAAGTACCGGTAAAATGCAGCTGTTATATACCTTCCTCTTGAAAGGTAGTGGCCATCTACCATTTATGATTTGAGAATGCTTGCCGAATGGGCTCCATCTCATTCTTACTCTTCCAGTTACTTCAATATTGTGGTTCGGCTACGTGGTTATTAAATGTTTTAAGTAGACGTATTTTTTTACAACTTCAAGTGGAGTCCTACCTATCTCGAAGCGCTGTTCTCTTCCGAGGTTGGTGTACATAACTATCGTTTTCTGCAGATTAATTTTAAGACCTATATTTCTGCTCTCCTCGTGTAATTCACTAATCATCAATTTCAATTTGTCGTCTGAGTTACTCAGCAATCCAGTGTCATCGGTGAAGTGCAGTTCACTAAGGTACTCTTCATTAATTCGTGTCCCTAATTACTCACCCCATTTTAGGACTCTGGAAACCTCCTGTAAGCACGCGGTAAATATCATTGGGGAGATTGTATCCCCTTGTCTTACACCCTTCTTTATTGGCATTCTGTCGCTTTCTTTATGGAACACTATGGCAGTTGATTCGCTGTAGATTTCTTCTAGAATGTCTATATATGCTTCGTCGACGCCCCGATACCGCAGTGCATGACTGCTGATATCTCTACTGAATCAAATGCCCTCTCGTAATTTATGAAGGTTATGTATATTAGATTGGTGTATTCTGAGCATTTTTATATCACCTGATATATAGTATGAATGTAGTAGATTGTTGAATTAATAGCATGTACGAAATCCTGAATAGTCCTTTGGTTGATTAAATTCTATTGTTGTCGTAATTCTGTTAGCAATTATCTTTGTAAATACCTTTAATGTGACAAAGAGCAAGCTGATCGGCCTGTAATTTTTCAAGGCCTTGTCGTCTCCTTTCTTAAGCATCAAGATGATGTTAGCATTCTTCCAAGATTCTGGTACCCTCCCCGTCATAAGTCAATTCATAAACAGTGTGGCTAGTTTATCTAACACAATCTGTCCTCCGTCTTCGCGCTGATCTGATGTTACCTGAGCCTCACCAGCTGCTTTGCCTCTTTGCATTCCCTCCAAGGCTTACGTGAGTTCTTCTGTCATTACTAGTGGGATGTCATCTGGATTACTGCTAGTTCTTATATTAAGGTCGTGGTTCTCTCGGCTACTGTACAGATCTCTGTAAAACTTCTTTGCTAGTTTAACTATCCTATCCATATTGCTAGTTAATTTGCTTTCCTTGTCCCTCAGTGCATGCATCTGATTTTTGCCTATTACAAGCTTCCTCTTCACTGCTTTGACGCTTGCTCCGTTCTTTCGAGCATGTTAAATTCTCTCGATAGTATACGTTCTGACATCCTATATACCCAACTACTGTACCGCCAACTTCCACTGCGCACTCCGTAATGATACTCGTCACAATATCAATCATTGTGTCAAGGCTAAGGTCGGTTCCTTCAATAAGGCCGAGTATCTGTTCTGAAGCGAAACACTGAAGTCCTGTACTGTCCCTCTCTGCGCTAGTTCATTGATTGGATCCTTGCATATCAGTTTGTGTCGTCCCTTCTTGAAGTCTAGGCGATTTGTAGACTCTACCATTCTATGGTCAGTGCATCGTAACTTGCCAAGCACTTCCACATCCTGCATGATGCCTATAGGTGTGCACTCAGTATAACATTTTCAATGAAGGCGAAAACGCTGTAGGCCCGTTTTGGGAGCACGTTAAATAATCCCAGGTGGTCGAAATTTCCGGAGTTCTCTAGTACGACGTCTCTCATAATTATATGGTGATTTTGGGACGTTAAACCCCACATATAAATCAATGCATTCAGTATACATCCCATTTCATTCTTACTTTCACCATTGGGGCTGATATATGTCCACGTACGGTTCGCTCGTTTTCGATAGAAGGTATTCAAGATCCGTAAAGTATTGCGTTCTGCGAATTTTGCTAACAACTCCCCTTTGGCATCTCTAGTACCGATGCCATAATCTCCTACACCCTTATCTCCAGCCTGCTTCTTTTTTATCTTGGCACTGAAGTCGCCCATCATATATCATACTGTGTTTTCAACTTTCTCATTGCCGATTCAACGTCGTCAAAGAAGATTTCAACTAACCATGATTGGATGTAGGTGCGTAGGCCTGTACCACCTTCATCTTGTAACTCTAATTGAGTTTTATTGCGATACCTACCACCCTTTCTTTCATTTGTGCTATGGTATTCTTCTGTGTTACCACGTATATTTCTGTGGATAAGTGACACCCCCAGTTCTCGTTTCTCAGCCAGGCCATGATAGCAAAAGACGTGTCCATTTTGTAGCACTGTATAGGCCTCATCTGTCCTCCTAACCACACTGAGCACTATTACATCCCATTTAACACCCTCTAGCTTCTCGAACAGCACAGCTAGCGAGACTTGCCTCACAAGATAAGGTTCTAGGTCATGCCCACATAAAGTTATAACAACAGCTCAGCGATTGTATTCTCACATATATTGTGTAGAATCGCGATTTGTTATGAGGTGGGATAATGTATGAATGTATGTAAACCTAATCATAAGCATGACAGAGAAACGCAGATGCTGCATTGTTTACTGCGGTCATCTTCATGATTTCGCAATTGCTTTCATTGGTGCTATTTAGCACTCTTTGATAGCATGGCCTTCTCCTGATTCACCTAAAAATTTGCATTGACATTTTTAAGTGCAATGATTGTATAGGTTCCTTTATGGTCAGCTCGTGACATGAATTTGTGAAGACCGTGGTTAGCGTCATGCATGTGTCAGGCATGACTAAACCGATAACACTTAAATCATACAAGTCAGCATTAAATTTTCTAATATGCCTACTGTATATCTGAACTAACAACTCAGTAGTTATATTCCAGAATAATATCATAAAGATATGTGCGAGCATGTTTCCGTGGAGCACAAATAGATGTGTGCTCCACAAAAACATTCCAGTACAAAATCACTGTTAAATAACTCTTGTTTATGTTCTTACCATGTTATGTCATGATTCGTGGTTGCATTCTGAGCCGCCACAAATTGGCGGAAGAATCAAAGAGCATTTTTACTCTGAAACCTGGTGCAAGGATTCCCACCGGCTGAACGCAATTAATGAGAACATAAAGGTAATTTAATGAGTGTCTTTTGAGAGCACACGTTTTCGCTTGTGCGCAGCGGAAGCAAAAGGGACTGTCAAATTTTAAATTCAGTATGTTTGGCTATGGCACTTCATTTTGTGTGGTGTCTAGCTGCATTCTTTTTTATTTTTCTTTGTTTTTTTATAGTTAATGAACCGGGTTTTGTGATACTGTACGCTGACGTTCACGTGATGTCGAGAAGTCGCAATCGGTTGAGCTAGCATATATATATATATATATATATATATATATATATATATATATATATATATATATATAATATATATATATATATATATATATATATATATATATATATATATATATATATATATATATATATATTCAGCGGGAAGTTCAGTGGGTCTGGTACGTATAAGAAAGGAAGCTGGTACACGTACGAGAAAGCAAGCAGTTCCTTTATAGATTTACGTTTCGGGGCCATGACACGGCTTTCGTCAGAGAATGAAAAGTGAACAAGGCATATGCCGCTTTTAAGGGCCACTGATAACACAAAAAAACGTCAGGAGTTCAAAATCAAACATCGATGACAATTCATTTTAATCTATCAGCTCGTGTAACAAGATAACTGTTACAACTTTAGAGGAAGCCATCGCATCAGTGAAACATATCAACCAGTAAAACTATGATGAGGCCGCGAAGGAGACACGAGAGATTAAGGCTACTTGCGTGGCAAAACAGATATCAATCACATTTACTTCAGCACGGTACACATAAAAGTACTGAAAGATCACCCAATTTTTTTTTTACAAGTTGCCATGGTCGCTATACAAAATATAGAACGTGCGACTTTACAGTCGCACGTCCTGTATATGCTATTGAATATGCGTTCTGTATATATGCTATATACAGAACGCATATGAATATGCTGAATTACTGCTGAACTTAATATATGCAGCTGAACTTACGTCCTGGGAGACGCCGCGATACACGCCTATCTGCGACGCAGTGTGCGTAGTCGTATATATATACTTCGTTCCCGTGCGAGTGTAGTCATGGCGCACACTCAGTGTGATTCAACTTCGGAGCTCAATTCCCGTGACATCAGCAGCGCAGCTTTTACAGGGTGCCGCTGGAAACACTTTCTCTCTTTTTTTCAGAAGAGGCACGTGCGGTGAAGCCCGCATCCGCGCCAGATATGTTCTCGCAGCAGCAACAACAAAAAATAACAATAACTGAAACGCTCATCGGAGTTGAGTCCATGCGTCCTCCTCCCGTCGATCGAGGTTCCGCTCGCTTTGAGAGGGCCGCCGCAGCGGACCCACCACGTGACTACAATGATCACGAAGCAAGGCAGCGCGAGCGGCCCGCCGCGTCCTGGGGAGTGCCCTCGGCGTTTGTTTTCAGTCTTCCCCCTGAACAGAGCCGCGTGTGTACGATTCGGCACGTCCGTATCGCTTCGATCCGACGGTGCGACATGGTGCACCACGAGTGAAAGGGCCTTCGGCAAAAGCGTCAGCCCACGACCGGTCCCCGCGCGCGGTACACGCCCTATGAAAAATTTCGGAGATGCGTGCCCACCACGGCAGCGACGTATGAGCGCTGCTGCACTCCGGACTCTTCTTCGAATCACCTGCCTTGAAATGTAAGTCACCGTGCAACAAGGCTTCCTTCTGTTACTCGCAGATATTCAGTGGAGAAACGCTCGATTGTTACAGCTTCGGTTGCGACAGTGGAGGTCGCCATTCTTATTGATGTTCGCGCTTCCCTCACGCAAATTCAGCAGAGCAGCGCCGTTAGGAAGGAACGAACACCTATACGGAATGCTGGGAACACCAACGAAAACACTCGTGAGGGCGCGGACAACTCTTGTCGTCTGCTAGCAAGCTCCCACAACGCTCGCCGGCGCAGGTCGCGCACTCAGGTTTCTGAACGAGGCATTCAGAGGAACTAGGTGTATCTAAAAAAATCTGACTCTACGCTGAAAGACACCAGGCTGCCGAATTAAGCGGTCAATGTTTTTATTTCAGCGTCAGCCGAATCTCAGAAAGCATCTTTTATAATTTTACGATTACATATTTCATCGTAATTGGATGCAGCTGAGTTGGCATATCAGGATTGGTGCAGCTAATTAATTGTCCGTGCGAGCTAGGTTTGCCGCTTGAAAGGTAATGGCTGTATGTTTTCGTTACCTTCATGTTCGGTTGCCACTCTGTACGTCAGGGGCGCCCATGCGACTGTGTTCTGTTGGTTGCGTCAAAGAGGCCAGAAAGGTATCGCCACCTGGCCTTCCTACCTGCAACTATTCTGGAATTACCGCTCGTACGCCGCCCTTTAACATTAGACCAGACCCAATGCCTGCAGCCGTCCACAACAACAGTTGCCCAGTTTTTTTTGGTGTTTTTTTTTAGCGAAGCATTAAATACGCTACATGAAGTAAAGTCATTTGTACAGAGTTTTGTAATTACTTTCTTTCTAATAATTGCGCCTGAAAGCTATTATTTACTTTGCCCGTGTTGGCGCTTTTTGGAGGTGTTAATACGACTCGAAGCCACACGCTCGCAATGAGACATGTAATCGTGGAAGCCTTCGGTTGTACTCGTTAGCATGCGTACCCAAAGCATGCATACCTTGCACCCAAAGCTTACAACACGAGCTCGTACTTTTTTTTTTCCATTACACCCTCATCAAAACACGGCCGCGGTGACCAGTGCTCTAAACCCGGGTCCGTCGCTTATTCATCTGCAAAACGTTACAGATATGCAACGGATTAATAGAGGTTGCTAAAGTAAAACTTAAAGAAAGTTTATTTTTAACTAAACTTTAACTAAGCTGCTAGGGGCTTGCTCGTACAAACTTGTGTGTGTTTTCTTTTAATAATTCTTTAATACTCGCCCGCTAAGTCATGCATGAAGCAGGTTATATTCAAGGGGTGGTGTACGTGTAGAAATGAACAGCTGAACCTCGGGCATAGATGCCATAAACCTAGTTTAATTTTTTTTTCTTGTTGGAACAATTTTCCAAAAATGTGCACGCAGTTGGAAATCTGATTCAAACATTGCACGCCTGGCCGCACCACGTTCCCACCGCCGTGCGATTGCTAGCTAAACCAAGGCGGTCAAAACTGTCGCACGCGCCGTATATCCAGGCAGGAAAGGAGCTATCGAGTGCTCACTATATATTGTTTGTTATCGCTGCCTTCTACCATGTTTTCCAAATAAACGTTATCTCCAGCAGGATGCAGCGTGCGGAGATAGGAAATCATGATTTCGCTGGGCGCCATCTGTCGTAGTATGCCCGCGTTCCCCGCGGTGCCGCTGTGCATCACGTGCTGCAGAGGGTGCCGTGGTGGAAGAGGAGGAGAGGTGGCTCACGGAAGGGTCCTCCCGGCCCTCGCTAGGGGGCAAAGTTTTTTCGGGACAGTTCGGCAGCGTTGGTGCGGTGGCGACGTGCTGTTGCGCGCCGATTCAATAGGCTCTTGCCTGCCCTCCGATCTCGAGTCTGGACTTGCCGTGAAGGTTATGAGTGTCTACCTTGTACTTTCAACCCCTCGAAAAGTGTGCGAGCACACCGACCCACTGGACGCTCTGAGCGGCCCGTGCTGGCATTTGATGAACGCGGCGGGCCGCTTGCTTCCTCTGCGGGCTCACGGGTGAGTGCGGCTTTTTTCGGCCAGGTTAACGGACTGCCAGTCTACGCGCACCCATATCAAGCGACCCGGAACGCGCATACGTTTCTTTTTTGTGTGTGCGCGGGTGGAGTGGGGATTCACTGCGCTGGTTCACTTTCGTTATCTCACAGCGCACCCGCGTATCACACACTGAACTATTCCCGACAGTTTGTGCGCTCAGCAGACAAGCCCGTAAATGAAGGAATACGCACTGATCAGTCTACCAAGTGTCTCGGTCGCATAGGCAAAAGACATTCGAACGTATTCCCGGTCGCATTGAGTATACGGTGTTCTGTACTGGTGATCGACTTTGAGCACAAAACAGGTCGGCGAACTGTAAGCGTTGCGATAATAAATTACTGTCTGATCGCAACGAAATAATACCTCTTTCATTCCAGCCGTCGTCTGACGTAATCGAGCGCTTGACAGAGGTGTTAATTGCTTGTGCGATCAGCTGTTCAGGTCAAAACGTTCTATGGAACGCTTCGGCCTTGACAGCGATCACTGAAGGCGTATCAATTCGTCTGGGGCGTTTCTCACTAAACGCGACTCGTTGTAGTAAGTGGAGCCTGACGTGTGGATGCTGTCGCCAGCTGTTCCGAGTGTCCCGTGCCGCAATCGCTGTTGGACGAACACTTTCACGTCGAACTGCTGGCACGCCGTGTCGCTGCTATCGTGCGCTGCTGTCATGTACCGTCTTGCGCGCTCACCACGTGTTGATACATTACTCGGTTGGGAACAGCTGTGTAGACCCAGAAGGGCCGACGCAAAACTCGGCTGTCCTTCGGCTAGCCGGCGTATCTTGGTAGTCACCTTGTAAGCTGTCAAGAGTGGAAGCAACACGCTTCCGATATCGTGTCACCTCGCGAGTTTTAACAAAGAAATCGGTGTCGCGTCGTCAGTGTCCAACTGCGCCAAGTATCTGCACAAATACCTATGTATGTGCCCCTATGACTGCGTTGCTGTGAACGTTGAGCGTGCTGGTAAATTTGAATCAACACGGCGACATGAGCACTCATCCAAAAATGTTACGTTAATCATAAACAAGTGTTTATATTCCAATGCGCGTAATATTTGCATCCGCGGAGAGAAAAAAATACCTATGCGCTTCTTGCAGTGCTGAACGACAGGTGACTAACTATACGTAGCGTCAATGAAGCATTGTCTTAAGTTTAGATTAGATGCCATGTGTGACAGTCACTTTTTTTGCATGCCTGATTGTGATGCCGTAGGTAAGTCACATTTGGCTTGAAGTGAGTCATGCCAAAAGGAAATCATCAGGTCCGGTGGTAAATGCTCTGACGCCCCATCATTCACAATAGCTCTTGTCACCAAGTTAGCGCTCTCACTGTAAAGATGTCGAACGCTTTGCGCTTCCCGGGTCACTGCGCTCATTGTTTTGCTCTGGGTGCTTGAAGAGCGAAATTTCACTGAGCACGCACGCACACACGGACGCACGTACAGTTCTTCGAAGGTTTCCAAGCTACGCTGCGGCAGGATTATATGGGGTAGTGGCCCGGGAACTTTTATCAGACTCCGTACTTGCAGTCTTACATGTGTGAAACGAAGGAAGACTCTGTTGTCGATGTAGAACTATCTACTAGTAAAGAGTAAATTCTATCCTACAATTTCGAAAGTCGCAATCGCATGTAAGCTATTATGACTTTAGACTGAAATCGAATCCCGGCTGCATTTTCGATGGAGGTGAAAGTTATTGAAACTCGTGTACTTAAGTGCAAGCTAAACGAACCCCAAGTGTTCGAAATTTCCGGACCCCCCCCCCCCCCCCCCCCAGCGCGGTGTCCCTCATAATGATGTAGTTTGTACAGGGAAGGTCGCTTCAGCCAACGCTTCCACTAGTGGACTTGTCTTCATTAAAACATGTTGCTGCCTTGACGATTCATCGAGACCTTGGCTCTATCGACATTTCACGTTCAGCGATTTCCCATCGCCTCTAGACGTTAACCTGAAGCGCCTTAGTTTACCAGCCGTGGCATCACCCCATCACTTGTTTGTTTTTCCTTCAATCTGGGGCACATACCCACTTCGGAGGATTGGCCAAGAATGCAAAGTTGACAATTCGAAATGTTATTTTAAGAATGGTAGGATACTTAAAAAATAAAGAAATGGAATGACAATAATACGCAATACAATAAATTAAGCACCCATCACTTTGGTCGGGCGTCGTCTTCATTTTGGCTTCTAGAACCGAAAGAAGGCCACAGTGGTGGTGTCGATCGTAGTGCGTATCATTGACAAATTACTCCCTCGAGAATTTTCAGTTCTGGTTTTCTTTTCGAGTGGCCAGGGAAAATATTCTGTGATGAGGTCAATTGATATCGCCAGGGCGGAAAGGGTTTAAGGCACAAATCCGGATGCAGCGCAAAAATATCGTCCCTAGTCCTTCGTTTTATTTTTGAATGAAAATGCAAGGTTTGTGCTGCACAAGACCAATCTTTTTTTTTTTTTTTTTGCGACGTAAACTTGACTTCAAGACATAAATTTTTATTTTTTTTTTTGCGTGATGATTGGTTGATATGTGGGGCTTACCATTCCAAAGCCATCATATGATTATGAGAGACGCCGTAGTGGAGGGCTCCGGAAATTTCAACCACTTGGGATCATCTTAACGTGCACCCAAATCTGAGCACACGGGCCTACAGCATTTTCGCCTTTATCGAAAATGCAGCCACCGCAACTGGGATTCGATTCCGCGATCAGCAGCCGAGAACCTTAGGCACTAGATCACCGCGGCGGGGCATATAAAAAAATAGTACCTTGCACTTAATTGTGGAGAAGCCATGTGCTTTGGCTGTTTTTAACATGTGATTCCTTCCTCAGTACAGTACAATAACATTAGACTAAAACATTCATAGAAGCATTGGTTACAAATGGGCAACATCTTCTGATTATGTCCAAAAATCACTCCAGGGCTACTGTAAATTGTTGTTTTTAGTTTATATGGTTGATTACAC